ACATAAGTAAGTAAAAAGAGATTCATGATTAAATGTCTCAACAATAAACTTAATTATACATGATAACGTATCAAAACAATCAGTTAGTATAATATATGAATAAGTAGTAGGGTTTGACATTTTGCACAATCAAAACATGTTTGAAAAGTTTCTCTATAATATAGAACAGAGAAAGTTTTAAGGTGATTAAGTATTTGAGTCATGTTTAAGCACTAGTTTGGGAAGTTGGGTTGGGGTAAGTTGGGACTAAAATAGTTATAAAAAAATAAAATAGATTTTTTAGTCTCAAGTTAAAAAATGTCACATCTAAATAATAATTATTTTATTTTTTCTCTAACAAAAGTTAAAAAAGCCTATCCCAAACAAGATTTTTTAGCTCAGGCTAAAATAGTCAAAAAGTCAAAAAACCAACCCACATACCCAAGGAAACTTAAGTATTCAAAAAAAAAAAAAGTATTTGAGTCATGTTGATAAACTTACTTTTTCAAGTTACAAAATTATTAGCAGTTCGTGTGTGTGACGAATAATATCTGAGAGGATTATATAAGTCGAGTTAACCATGAGCTGATCGTCAGTGATATTCTGGTTAATTAATGACTAGAGACAACTTACTTTCTAAATAAAAACATAAAGGGATTTATAACATTTTCCTTTTTATTTATATATATATATATAATGTTAGTTGATTTTTTTTTTCTTTTTTCTTTTGATTCTTTGTTAGTTGATTAGAAAGTTAAATAATTGCTAATAACCATTTTGTATAATATTCCATCTTTGTCAAACCCTAGACAAAAGTAACCGCGTTTGAATGGGAATGCATTAAAGAATTAAACTAAATCTAAGATTTTTTTTAAATCAATAAGTCCTATTTTGTAAAGCTGAAAATATTATCAATTTTTCTTAATTTTTAAAAACTATGAATATTATCAATTTTGCATAGTAGTGTTCCATATAATTATTTCACTAGCTGATGAAAAAAAACAGAGTATGAAATTAAACGTTTTTACCCTTCTACTTATTAGTTTGATTCAACTATTCAATAAAACAGAGAACATTATCAGTTTTTTTTTTCAATTTTAAAACTGAGAACATTACCAATTTTTCCATTTTTAAAGTTTTTTTTTTTTTTAAAGTTTTGTACATCAATGTTCCATCATCATTCTTCTTTTATAGATACAAAATTTTCAGTTTTTCACTACAAAAAAAAAATTTTAAAAATAAAATAATAATAATAATAATAATTTTTTCAATTTTTAAGGTTTTTTCAATTTGAAAATTGATGTTTTAAAGTTTTGAAAATCAAAATAAATGTTAAATTATATTGTTCCTTTGTAGATAATCATAAATGATGAATAATCATTGTTTGAAGAACAATTCCAACTATTAAAAATTTAATAGAACTTGAAGGTCTAAAAAATCTTAATTAAAACTTAATAAAATATAAGTTCATAAATTAGAACTTGTGTGTAAATGCTCCTTGGGCAAATTATACTTATCATTATATCATGTTTGGTTCCATTTTTCTAAACCCAATTTTTTGAAAATTTTGAAGTTTTTGTTTGGTTATTTTGAAAATGGGATAAAGTTTTGAGAATCTTGATTTTGATGTAACAATTTTTCTTTTTTAAATTGGTCAATGTATCTAGCCTCCTCTCAACTTTTAGAGAGAAATTTGAAATTGCATAGTGCATTTTTTTGAAGGCAGCGGCTTTGGTCCAGTCCAAGATCGGCCTGGACCGTGCTGTTGGGCTCGTGGGGGCCACCACGAGCCCAACATTTTGCAAAAATTACAATTTTTTTAAATAAATTTGCAAAAATTACGATTTTTTTAATGCGAATTTGTAAACAAATTTTCTACGTAACATTTACGAAAATTTAATTCTACAAAAGAAATTTTTTAATGCCCATTTGGAAAAAAAAATATTATCAGTTTTTCTTAATTTTTAAAAACTATGAATATTATCAATTTTGCATAGTAGTGTTTCATATAATTATTTCACTAACTGATGAAAAAAAACAAAGTATGAGATTAAACGTTTTTACCCTTCTACTTATTAGTTTGATTCAACTATCCAATAAAACAGAGAACAATATCATTTTTTTTTTTCAGTTTTAAAACTGAGAACATTACCAATTTTTCCATTTTTAAAGTTTTTTTTTTTTTTTTTGTAAGTTTTGCACATCAATGTTCCATCATCATTCTTTTTTTATAGATACAAAATTTTCAGTTTTTCACTACCAAAAAAAAAAATTAATTAATTTTTTCAATTTTTTAGGTTTTTTCAATTTGAAAGTTGATGTTTTAAAGTTTTGAAAATCAAAATAAATGTTAAATTATATTGTTCCTTTATAGATAATCATAAATGATGAATAATCATTGTTTGAAGAGCAATTCCGACTATTAAAAATTTAATAAAAATTGGAGTTCAAAAAAATTTTAGTTAAAACTTAATAAAGTATAAGTTCATAAATTAGAACTTGTGTGTAAATGCCCCTTGGGTAAATTATACTTATCATTATATCATGTTTGGTTCCGTTTTTCTAAACCCAATTTTTTGAAAATTTTGAAGTTTTTGTTTGGTTATTTTGAAAATGAGATAAAGTTTTGAGAATCTTGATTTTGATGTGACAAATTTTTTTTTTAAATTGATCAATGTATCTAGCCCCCTCTCTCAACTTTTAGAGAGAAATTTGAAATTGCATGGTACATTTTTTTGAAAACCAAACATATATCCATTTTCAAAACAAAGTTTTAAACATAAATCTACCATTTTCTAAATAATTTTAAACATAAATTCACGATTTTGTAAACAAATTTATGATTTTGCAAATAAATTTAAACATAAATTCACAATTTTTTTGTAATGCCAATTTATAAAAATTGGGCATTTTCCGAAAATTTGTATATAAATTTACGTTTTTTGAAAATTTATAAAGAATTATGTTTTCCTCAAAATTGTAAATAAATTTACATTTTTCTGAAAATTTGTAAATAAATTTGCAAAAATTACGATTTTTTTAATGCGAATTTGTAAATAAATTTTCTACATAACATTTACGAAAATTTAATTCTACAAAAGAAATTTTTTAATGCCAATTTGGAAAAAAAAAATTACGTTTTCTGCAATTGAAATGAATAAACATTTTATGATAAAGTCACACATTTAATAGTAGGATATATACCCATAAATGGGTACATACCAAATTATATTTTCATATATATATATATATATATATATAACTAAGATGAGAGTATTTTTTGATGTGACCAAAAAAAAAAATTAAATTGTCTCTCTCCTTAAATCGGAGGGAACCTTGAAATTGCAATGACGTATTTTTTTGAAAACCAAACAATGATTCTTTTTTAAAATAGAGTTTTCAAATCACTTTTTAGAAAAAAAAAATTCAAAAAAATGGAACCAAACATAGTGATCAATTTTTGTAATTTAAAATGTTACTTTAATCTAAGTAATTTTTAATTTCAACAATTTTGTTCTTACATTTTCAATTTTGTTACAATATGGTCCTTACGTCACTTACCACTAAAATTTAAAACGGAAAATGACTTTGTATAAATTAGAGGGATTGAAGAAAAATTCTAAACAAATTATAGGGACTATCGGTATAATATATTCATTACACACGTGATCTTTATAATTTGTTTGGCACCCTTAGGGGTTGCTTGGTAAACATGTTGGGCTAAAAAATCACAAAAGGACAAAAAAAAAAGACCAAAAATCATAAAAAGACAAAAAAATCCACTATTTGAAAGCTAAAAAGCCAAAAAAGCCAATTAAAAATACCAAACGAACAAAAAAGTTTTAGGTTAAAAAAGTCAAAAAAAGTCAAAAAGTCAACTAAAAAAGTCATTGTCAAACGAAGGCTTAGTTTTACATGTGATTTTTTCTATTCAAAACCTTAACAATACATGACGGTAGGGGTGTGCGCGGTGCGGGTCGGTGCGGTTTGAGAGAAAAATAGAAACCGTATGGCGGGTGGCGGATTGATAAAAGTGTCACTAGAATTTGCCATTTTCCTTATCAAAAATCGGCGGTTCGGTTGGCAAATAATGACGGATTTGCCTTGGCGGTTCGGGCGGATTGGCGGTTTATAAAAAATATAATTCAAATTACAAAACTTAAATCAAAGAGTAAAAAAAAGACGAGAGATACCGTGATATTAAGCATCTTGCGAAGCTTTTTTCTGATACAGCACGTGTAGCAACAACATGATAATATCAACGACTATGCCATCAATTCATTACAAGCATCTGTGGAAACTACAATGATCAAATACAATACATAAAATTAATATCATTCAGGGTTTACAATATATTGAAAATGTTTACTGTTGAAAAGTATTTAGATTGAAAAGTGAGCTGATGCAAGTTTGCAACATTGCCAGAAAAAAAAAAAGATTGAAAAGTGAATTGGAATCTAACTTTATTTTGGATTACTGACATCTTGAATTCCCCTTGAGCAGTAATGTAATACTATATTCTAAGGTAAAGAACAACAAGCAAACTTAAGTAAAAAAGAATTTTTAGAATATTATAAAACATGATATAATAGCGGTGCGGGTCGGTGTGGTTTGGAAGAAAAATAGAAACCGGCGGATTGATAAAAGTGTCACTAGAATTTGCCATTTTTCTTACCAAAAACCGGCGGTTCGATTGGCAAATAATAACGAATTTGCCTTGACGGTGTGGTTCGGTGCGGTTTTGGCAGTTTCAGCGGTTTCGGCGGTATTATGCACACCCCTACATGACGGAGGGATCATATTGAAATTATTCAAATTAAAATTATAAGAATCAAAGTGAAATTTTTGCTCAAACTAAAAGAAGTAATAATGTAATTTACACAATTAGTTTTGATGATCTCATAGCATACGTGTTCTTTTGTTTTGCTTGACCGGATATGGGTTGATGTTGTCATTGCATACGACCAAATACTAATAAACAACTATATATATTTGACAGAGCCCAGTGTTGCACTGCACCAATCCAAAACAGATCAAGCTAAAATCAACTACCAAAACCAACTATAAATATCCTCCAAACCCATACCCTCCACTGCATATACAAAGCCACCATTTCTGCAAATACCATATTCATATAAAATGGAACAAGCAAAGAGGTACTAATACCATATCTCATATGACTATGTTATTCACTCTTTTGAATTAAATTAAGTCTTCAACCACATGTTTTGATTGATTTTTAATTTTCTTCGCTTTCACATCTTTACTTTTTTTATTCAGGATTGCTATTGTTACCGGAGGAAACAAAGGAATTGGGCTAGAGATTTGCAAACAATTAGCTTCTAATGGGATAATGGTGATTCTAACGGCAAGAGATGAGAAACGCGGTCTCAAAGCTGTGAAAAATCTCAAAGCTTGTGGGCTATCTGATATACTTTTTCACCAGCTTGATGTGACAGACCAGGCCAGTATTGCTTCCATGGCTGATTTCATCAAAAATAAATTCGGGAAGCTTGACATATTGGTAAGATTTAATGCTGATGTAACTTGTTTGGCTACATCTTTCGTTTCCCATATGTTTTAGTCGGAGTGTCTCTTTCACTGAGTTGTCATTTTTCAAATACAAATACACCTTCGAGATTTGTTTAAAATACAAATTACTTCTTGTGGAAAAAAAAAATATTACCTAAATTATATTTTTCATTTAACAAAATTAATTGGAAAAAAATAAAATTTCTAACTACTCTCTTATACACAATTAAATTACCTAAATTATTAATTGAAATATATTTCTAACATCATTAAAATTATTAATTGACTTGCTGAGTTATTAATAAAATGGGACATTTGTAATGTGATTAGAACCTTCAGGGGCACGAGATTTAATTTCTAAAACTATAGGGGGTAATCTGTATTTTAAGCAAATCTCAAATAGTATTTTATAATTTATCCTAAATTTTAATAGGTGGACTCAACACACATTAAACAACATTATTTAAAAAAAAAAATTCTCTTCTCCTTTCGTATACAACATGCTAAATTGAAATATAATTTGTTTTTTCTTCATATTTCCTTTCAATTTTGGAATAGTATATATAATTGAGTAAAAATTGGAGCAGGTGAATAATGCAGGAATTAGTGGAGGCATAATTGATGAGGACGCTCAAGAGAGGCTAACCCTGGCTGATGTAAGTCTCTCCATCAACCAATGTTATCTTATTTCAAGTTTAAAAAAATATATATATATAGTGGTTTTGTTGCAAGTCAAAACATTTATCAGTTTTATGGTTGAGTAATAATCCTTTTTTATTTAATCAATTTTACAAACTCTATGGAGTTTGGAGCCACATACAAATTCTGTTTATGAATCAATTTCTCTAAAAATAATTTGTTATTGCCAACTTTGATGTAGATTGTAAGTTCAAATGTTAAAGGAGAGAAATTTATGGAGCAAAGTTATGAGATGGGAGAAGCTTGTCTAGGAACAAACTATTATGGAGTGAAGCTAGTGACTGAAGAGTTTATTCCACTTCTTCAACTATCTGACTCTGCCAAAATAGTTAATGTCTCCTCTACCTTGGGGCAATTGGAGGTACAAAAACTTTTCCATCATATAGAGAAAAGAAAAAATATAACATAATGATTTTTTATTTTTCTTTTGGTTGACTACTTTTGTATAACGACATTTCAATTATATTTCAGCTTGTTTTAAATGAAAAGGCCAAGAAGGAGTTAAGCGATACTGATAGCCTTACAGAAGAGAAAGTGGAGGAGGTACTTAAGAGATATCTTGAGGATTTGAAGGAGGATTTGTTGGCAACCAAACGATGGCCTATTAATTGTTCGGCATACATAATGTCCAAGGCAGCTCTCAATTCGTACACGAGAGTTTTGGCAAAAAAGTATCCTAATATTGCTATAAATGCAATAAGTCCTGGCTATGTCAAAACAGACCTCAACTATCATAGAGGGATCTTCACTGTTGAAGAAGGTGCAAGAGGGCCCGTGATGCTGGCTTTGCTGCCTAACAGCGGGCCTTCTGGCTTGTTCTACGATCAGATGGAAGTATCATCTTTTTGAATAAGAGAACGTACATAGTTATATCACCTTCTATATATATCAATACAATGAACAATATGGGTGTATGTAGGACTCATAGTAGTACATGTGAAAGGGTTGGAAAATTTTTGGTAAGCCATGCTTGATATAATTTAGGAAGTTCAAAATTAACTGGTAATGTATGTATGCATGAAAGTGAGAAGAATCGTATAGCTTCTCATCTTCCGTAGTTATATACGTTTTGGATAATAAAGGTGTGCGAGACTCCAATATCAATTTTGTACTTTTTTTTTCGATTGGCAATGGAATTAAAATTTTATTGATAAAATAGGCGGTTTAAATTTAAATTTATAGCTATCATTCATTTTTTATAATAAAAAAAGAAAAAAAAAAACTTGTTCATGTGTCTGAAAAATGAACAAGTTCAGACACATGAATAACTTGACCCGAACCCTACAAATCTTATTCTCACCACAAATGTGACCCTATCTTCTTGAAAAACTCCCAAACCCATTTTATTAGGGCTGGGAGTATCGGGGACCTATTGGGTCAGAGTACTTTGCCATCTCTAGTGGTAGCTTGTTTCTCCCCGATGATGAAAATTGTATGTAGCTAGTAGTAGCTGTTGGGCTTGGGCTTAGTGATTGATTATTAGGTTTGGTAATTATTAACTTTCTAACTATTGCGAGGTTAGTGATCTATTTGATATAATATTTTTTATATCTATAATTACTTTTTTATCAATTGCCAAAAAAAAGGAATTTATCTAGAATATAAAATTCATGATTGAGATTCATTCATGGATTGGGTCCACAACAAGAAGATTAAATCTATACCATCAATCTAAAATTTTGGGTCAGATTCTAAATCTTTGGAAATAACAGAATCAAGTTGAGGGACTTCAGGGCCAAACTACTTTATTACCAATCTCTACCCTACTCGCTGGATAATGGCTCACAAATTCATCTAATCCAAGATGAGATAGAAACGACCTTACTTCAAGAAGAGATGTATCAACATCAACGCTCTCGAATTAACTGGCTTAGTTATGGAGATCGAAACTCAGCCTTTTTTCATGCAACAGTGGCCCAACGCCAACAACGGAATCAATTGGTCAAAATCAAGAATGAAAGTGGAGTATGGCTAGAGATGGACCATGAGATTAACCAACATCTTCATAATTACTTCTCAAGTTTATTCAAAGCTAAGGATCCAAGACCATTTGAGGAGGCACTTTCAGTGGTAAGCCACATGGTCACATCGCAAATGAATGATAATCTACTGAGGCCAGTCACTGATGACGAAATTAAAAGTGCTACTTTTCAGTTAGGGTCTTTAAAGGCACCAGGACCTGATGGTTTTCCTGGGCTGTTTTACCAAAAGAATTGGGATGTAGTGGGTCCAGAGATGTGTACAGCAGTTCGAAGTTTCTTCACAAGTGGGTCCCTCCTTAGAGGCCTTAATCATACCAATCTGATTTTAATTCCCAAGGTGGTTGCCCCTATTAGTCTCAATCAATATCGCCCCATAAGCCTCTGTAATTTCAGCATGAAAATCATTACTAAAGTCATGGCCAACAAATTGAAAAAAATTCTGAAGCATCTCATATCCCCTCAACAAGCAGCTTTTGTCCCAGGCAGGCTTATTCAAGATAGCATTCTCATAGCTCATGAGGCCTTCTACTATTTGAAGCAGAAGAAATCTGGAAAGAATGCAAACATGGCCCTTAAGCTGTATTTCAACAAAGCATATGATGGAATCCAATGGGACTTTTTGCAAGCTGTGTTACTAAAAATGGGTTTCCAGGGGAATTGGGTGAAATTGGTTATGGAATGTGTCACAACAGTGAGGTTTTCAATTTTCGTTAATGGAGCTAAACGCACTTCTATCACCCGCTCATGCGGACTTCGCCAAGGCAACCCACTCTCACCTTATAAATTTCTAATGATGGCTGATATGTTTTCTAACCTCATAACTCGGGCTCTTTATTCCCAAGGGATTCAAGGTTGACAATGGGAGGACTTGTCCAGTCCTCTCTCACATTTTCTTTGCTGATGATGCTATTCTCTTCCTATAAGGCCAATCAGAATGAATGCCAAAACATAATGGCCACTTTGAGGATGTACAGTGAAGCTTCTGGACAACTGATCAATTTTGCCAAATCAGGAGTGATGTTCTCCTCCAATGCATCTGCAACAACCCGTAGCTCCATCTGCTCTTCTTTGGGTGTTTCACAAGCCAATCTTACAACTAAATATTTGGGCCTACCTTGTTCATGAGGCAGATCTAAAGCTGAAGCTTTTGGGAGTCTGATTGAAAAAGCGTTAGGAAAAATGCAATGGTGGAAATCTAAGCTTTTATCTCAAGCAGGTAAGGAAACACTAATCATAGCTGTCATTCAGGCTATGCCCTCTTATGCCATGTCCTATTTCAAAATGCCACATCTTATTTTAAAATGCCACAATCTTTCTGTGCTAAGTTAAATTTTTTTGTTTGAAACTATTGGTGGAAAGGGGATCCAGATAACAAAGGCATTCCTTGGGCAAGTTGGGATCATATGACAAACACCAAAAATCAAGGAGGTATGAGCTTCAAAGATTTCAAAGCTTTTAACCAAGCCTTACTTGACGTCTCCTTATGAACCCGAACCCCAATTCTTTCTGGGCTCGTGTGTATAAAGGCCTTTACTTTCCAAATTCCACTTTCTTGCGAGCATTCAAGGGTAAGAGAACATCTTAGGCATTGTCAAGCCTTCTCAAAGGTAGGGAACTCGCCTGCGCACACCGGAAATCGCCTCCGTCTCTCTCTAGTTCGTGAACATGTCGAGATGTGGTTTATATATTTGGATTTTTGGTAATAATTGAAATTGATGAGGGTCATTTAAGTAATCTTGCCCCCCTCCAATACAGCTTTCCGCCTAAGCTGTAATTGCTTAAGCACTTCCTAGGCCACTTTCTCAAAATTCATAGTTTCTAGCTTAAATTAAGCTGCCAAAAGCTGAGTTAAGCTAAACCAAATACTCAAAAACAGCTTAACTTACGCCAAAAGCTGAGTTAAGTTGTTTTTAAGCAATACCAAATACCCAACAAGAACAAAAGCAAAAACAAAGTTCAAATCCGTGATATTTTCAAAAAATAATCACAAATTAATGATAGACTTCATAATTAAATCTTAAACTCTATTTTTCTATGAATTATAATTTCCCCAAACATAAATCAATTTTACAGAAAATATTCAATGATCAAGATGAATCAAGTTAGCTCTATCTGTTATGGTGGAACTTCTCCCAAGAGAGATTCCCAAAAGAGAGTTGAACTCAAGCCCTCCACGAGGCAGACTCTCAAAGTTCAATTCAATTTCTCACATATATAGCTGCCAGAGAGCACAACCATCTACCTTGGACAAGAACCCGCAAAACAAAAACATTGAAGCCATTGAAAAATAAATGACCTTGCATTAACATCTGAAACTCAGCCTTTTTTCATGCAACAGTGGCCCAACGCCAACAACGGAATCAATTGGTCAAAATCAAGAATGAAAGTGGAGTATGGCTAGAGATGGACCATGAGATTAACCAACATCTTCATAATTACTTCTCAAGTTTATTCAAAGCTAAGGATCCAAGACCATTTGAGGAGGCACTTTCAGTGGTAAGCCACATGGTCACATCGCAAATGAATGATAATCTACTGAGGCCAGTCACTGATGACGAAATTAAAAGTGCTACTTTTCAGTTAGGGTCTTTAAACGCACCAGGACCTGATGGTTTTCCTGGGTTGTTTTACCAAAAGAATTGGGATGTAGTGGGTCCAGAGATGTGTACAGCAGTTCGAAGTTTCTTCACAAGTGGGTCCCTCCTTAGAGGCCTTAATCATACCAATCTGATTTTAATTCCCAAGGTGGTTGCCCCTATTAGTCTCAATCAATATCGCCCCATAAGCCTCTGTAATTTCAGCATGAAAATCATTACTAAAGTCATGGCCAACAAATTGAAAAAAATTCTGAAGCATCTCATATCCCCTCAACAAGCAGCTTTTGTCCCAGGCAGGCTTATTCAAGATAGCATTCTCATAGCTCATGAGGCCTTCTACTATTTGAAGCAAAAGAAATCTGGAAAGAATGCAAACATGGCCCTTATGCTGTATTTCAACAAAGCATATGATTGAATCCAATGGGACTTTTTGCAAGCTGTGTTACTAAAAATGGGTTTCCAGGGGAATTGGGTGAAATTGGTTATGGAATGTGTCACAACAGTGAGGTTTTCAATTTTCGTTAATGGAGCTAAATGCACTTCTATCACCCCCTCATGCGGACTTCGCCAAGGCAACCCACTCTCACCTTATAAATTTCTAATGATGGCTGATATGTTTTCTAACCTTATAACTCGGGCTCTTTATTCCCAAGGGATTCGAGGTTGACAATGGGAGGACTTGTCCAGTCCTCTCTCACATTTTCTTTGAGGATGTACAGTGAAGCTTCTGGACAACTGATCAATTTTGCCAAATCAGGAGTGATGTTCTCCTCCAATGCATCTGCAACAACCCGAGAAAAAGAAAGAGCTCTGGTTTGAGATCGCAACACGACGGTGAGCTCTAGTTTCAGATCGCGACGGTGTGGATCGATTGTGATGTGGAGCTCTGGTTTTGTGATCGCGACAATGAGCCCTGGTTTGAGATTGTCACGTCATCGATGGCGGTGGTTAGGGCTAGAGTTGTCGACGTTGGAAATCGCCTGCGCACGTCAAAAATCACCTCCGTCTCTCTCTGGTTTGTGAACAGTGTTAAGATGTGGTTTATATATTTGGGTTTTGGGTAATAATTGAAATTGATGAGGGGCATTTAAGTAATCTTGCCCCTCCAATACAGCTTTCCGCTTAAGCTGTATTGCTTAAGCACCTCCCAAGCCACTTTTCAAAATTCATGGTTTTTGGCTTAAATTAAGCTGCCAAAAGCTGAGTTAAGCTAAACCAAATACTCAAAAACAGCTTAACTTACGCCAAAAGCTGAGTTAAGTTGTTTTTAAGCAATACCAAATACCCAACAAGAACAAAAGCAAAAACAAAGTTCAAATCCGTGATATTTTCAAAAAATAATCACAAATTAAGGATAGACTTCATAATTAAATCTTAAACTCTATTTTTCTATGAATTATAATTTCCCCAAACATAAATCAATTTTACAGAAAATATTCAATGATCAAGATGAATCAAGTTAGCTCTATCTGTTATGGTGGAACTTCTCCCAAGAGAGATTCCCAAAAGAGAGTTGAACTCAAGCCCTCCACGAGGCAGACTCTCAAAGTTCAATTCAATTTCTCACATATATAGCTGCCAAAGAGCACAACCATCTACCTTGGACAAGAACCCGCAAAACAAAAACATTGAAGCCATTGAAAAATAAATGACCTTGCATTAACATCTAGGATTGAATTTCCTTCAGAAGTTCATTTTCTCGAGAAAATCACATGGCCTCTACATTCTACAATCTTGAATTACCATCTAGATTTTATCCACTAAAACAAAAATATTCTGTGAATCAGAACTACACCTCAAATCTTATAGGTGGCCATTTTTGCAACTACCAATATAATTTCGGCACCGCACCACCATTCACCGAATCCTACAATTGAAAATTTTTAGAAGATAAAAATGTAAATTAAAAAAAAAAAAAAATTTATTCCCTGGGATGAAGCTATATATATGTTACAAATCCTTTTGTAAAAAAGGATTTTTTTTTTTTTTTTTTGACCTACCTCCTAAAAACCAACACAACCATCAACAGGAGCCATTTACCGTTAAACTGCCAGGGATGAATCTAATACGACTACACTGTTTCAACTTGGTGAGAGCTTCTTGCGTCTTCCCAATCATGAGATCCACATAAATAGCGGTCACAATGGCTTCTGGACTATCGGGTATTATGGACAAAGCTTGCATCACAAACCGTTGAGCCTGCACAAGATCTCCTTGCACTGCGAACACCGTGGCTAGGTTTCCATAAACAGTCCCACATGCTTCTCCGGGCTTGAGGAACACAACATCTTCCGATTCATCGAGTGAAGAGTTATTGGCAGTTAACGACCCGCCATTCAACTCATCACACTCCACATTTTTCTCCGCTCGCCATTGTTCACAGTCCTCTTCTGTGTATGGAAGTTCAACATTGCTTCCACCGGACAAATAGATCAACAAATGCTCAGCCGCTTCCTTTGGCCGGTTTAGCAGGCAGAGAGATTCCGCTGCATATATATTGGCAAGAAAGATGTAGATTCTGGAACATTCTGGAAGTTCTAAGAGAGACCTTGCTATCGACAGGGCCTTCGAAGGATTTCCTAATTCCAACTCTACATATACCAAGTCAGCAAGAAGAGCTTGCTTGATCATCTGATTCTCTCTTCTACAAATTTCTTCATAATCCAATATGGAGCTCTGTAAGGCGGTGTTGGCACTGTTTCCACCCTTTTGATCTTTAGCATCCCCATTTGCATTAAATGGACCTGAGCCCACCACCGGATTAGGTGGCTTGGAATCACCATCAGATACACTCTCATCATTTTCTTCAAACGTTGAACTATGAGGTGAACCAGAATTCAAATATTTTGATTCTGAACGGTTCAACAAGTACAGGGCATTGACCAGACACTGCCGGGCAAGAGACACTGAGAGATTGGGGTGTTTATTATCACCAAAAAACCAATCATTTTTTTCAACAAAATCCACCTGTCCATTACCTGAAATCCCATCTTCCAGAGCAAGTTGTCTCCATTTTCCTTTTCCAATAACGTGAACTTTAACCTCTGATCTATCAGAATGGGACACACCAGATTTCACAAGTCCCTTTTCCAATGCCATTAGACAGCATTCAGCAATTCGGAGCCACAATAGAGGCCAGCTGTAAAAAATTAAACTTGCCTTTTGGAAACAGCGAGCAGCAAGTATTGGTTTCCCACAAGCCAAGTACTGCACTCCACAGTTATATATAATTTGGAGAGATTTGTCCTGTGAAAAAGTTGTGAGCCTTACAAGCTTTTCCTTCCGGAGTGATGAACAATTACTCAGCGCCTTGGAAAAGAATACACTTGATGTGTGATATTTTCCAAGTCGATAATAGATGCAACCTAGATTGTTGTTGTATATGCTTGAAATCCCTAATTCTGTTCGATTACTTGAAGCCATCAAGAGCTTGACGGCTTTACGGTAGTTCCCACGAGCATACTCAAGCTGGGACTTCAACAGAAGAGCCACAGAAGAATCTTTCCCACGTGCTACATTCATAGCCATAGCCATCTTAACTTCACGCTTAGCTGCCTTGAAGTTCCTAGTAAAGAGCAGAAGCCGAACCTTGTAAAGTTGTAACTTAAGCCTCAGATCACCAGTTGAAATGGAATGATCGGCAGGGGTCCTTGAAAGATCATTTGAGGATTGAGGGCCGGATGGTCTTGCTAGGTTATGTCCACTCAAGTCAATTGATGAAATTAGGGATTCAAGATTCTCCTCTGATAAAGTTCTAGACAAAAGACTTTCATTTGCGTTAGCGACTGAATCAATAATAGAAACATCTGTGGCAGTAGAATTGCTCGGAAGTGAAGAAGATTTCGTCACTAAGTAGGAAGATTGTTGCTGTGCAGAGCTTCCATTGTCACTCTGAGTGACCAAACTGAAACAATAAGCTTTCTCCACATAATTAATTACATCCTGACAAAAACAAATCACAACATAATTATTATGGTACTAGAGCAATAAAAATATAATATACAAACTGAAAAAGAATTCGAAAAATATCAATAACGCTGTCAATAAATGTGACAACCAAAGCATTGCAGTATATAGAATGAGAGAATAAATTAACTGATGAATGATGTGTTGACTACTATAATGTGATTACTTAACCTCATTCATAATGAAAAGTGCAGGACAATCATGAGTTGCAGCATACTAATAAATTCTTGGACCTGCTCGAGTAGAATAAGAATAAGAAATGCATTCAGGGAAAAAATTAATAATAAATAATCAAAAAAACTCCTTGAAATGGTTGTTATAATATTATGCACATAATCTACAGTTCACAACAATCCCCCTGTTACAATCCATCCAATTTATGAAATAATGTAAAGCTAGGTAGCCCACAAAATAAGAAATAAATAACCACTTGAAGCTTCCAAACACCAATCTCAAGGATGGCTAGGGGGAGGGCCACAACCCCAAAAAATTTCAGTAATACTAAAATACCTCAGTAATACTAAAATACCTGTCTAACAAAAACTGTTATACAGAATGTGATTTACTGCCTAAATCTCTCTTGACACATGCATTTCAATCAGAGGCTTTACTATAGAGACTTACTGATCAAAATAACCTCCCTATTTCCCAACATATCCACCATATTATTTCCATAAAAGAATAGTTACCTCTAACTACCTATAATTTGGGGGTGGTGGGGTCACACAATTAACTACCTCTCACCCATTTTACAGTGTTGCATACCACCTCTCCAACCTTCGGTAATCAAAATCAGCTAGCTCCAACATTCATCATTTCTGCTCTCTTTACAGTCACAGGCAGCAACCAAGAAGAAGATGAAACCACACTCTTTGTTGCTATTTTCTCTTCAAAAATTTTGACAGTTCCTTCCACCCAAATGTACAAATTATTGCTAAAATAATTCCACATTGACACAACTTTTCCATTTTCCTTGCCAAAACTGAAAAAGAACATTGAAAAAGATTCACCTCGGGGAAACCAACTAAGAGCATCTCCAATGGTTGTTGCTATAATACCATTGCTATTGCTATAATTTGGCAATGAATAGTGTTATTTTGCCAAATTATAGCAATGGTGCTCCAATAGTCACTTGTTATTTTAACAATTTTCAACCAATTTTCCCTCCTAATTTGTAGATGTTGTTTGGATATAGGTTTTTTTGTGATTTTATTTTTGTTTATTTTTTGTCTTTTATGACCTTTTTTTAACTATTTGTAAAAAGAATTATACATTTATATTATTCCCGACTAGACAAATATAAAAAAATGAAAAAAATTGAAAAATTAGAAGAAAAAAATTAAATATAATTCAATTTGAAAAATCAAATAGAAAAATTAAATTTGAAAAATTACTTGGTTTTCTACTGTTTCAATTCTGTTTTTTCAACTGAATTTGGAGCCACAAATATGTTCATATTTGCTGATGTGGCATTTTTGGCAGTTGCAATTTTACTTGCCAAATTTGAGAACAGATATGGCATATGCCATCTTTGGCAAGTAAAATAGCAAGCCATTGGAGGCCCACTTTTTATCACTATTGCTAAATTATAGCTTTGACAAATGTTTTGAGAGCTCCATTGGAGATGCTCTAACCTTAGCAAACCCAGACATCTTTTGCAACAATGTACGAGTCACCAGACAATGCACAAGATTATGTACATTTCGAATAACACAAACATAGAAAGCTCTTTGTAAAGAAGCTTCACCTTCCATCCTTGCAGTCATATTGCATCCAATCCAAACCATATAACACCTACTGCTATATAATTGTTGGTCTACATCACATAACCAAACCACAAACGTTATCCAGTTGGCTTTTAATTGACTACATCTGACAATATGGGTAAATTCTTCATGTGTTCTAGTCTTGCCACGCATCCACCCAACACCCATATCATAGCAAATGCTCATTTTAAAAATGTGTCTTCTTCGCATCTTCATTTTGTTTAAATTAATAGTTTCATCCCTCACACAACATCTCCCAAGAGCAAAGCCTTATAAGCTACACGATGAAGTAACATTTCAGTGTAAACAAGAAACCCAAATGATGAAGGCACAATTCTATCCAAGGTCTCCAATACAACCACTTGGAAATGCTATCTACAAGGCAGGTGGCTCCTTCAACAATATAGTTGTAACTTGTAACTACTCATATATTTCTATGTAATTATGTTATTTTTCAAGTTTATTTGTGTTATTTACTTGGCACACAAGTTGGTACAAGAAGAGTTCTTGGAGCACGTGTCTACAATTTGAATTTTAGTCAATGAGACTGAGGGCTTGTTTGGGAAGTTACAATTTTGTCCTAAAGGCCAAAAAGCCAACAAACTATACGAAAAACTCAAAGGTTCCCTTTTCTCTTTATTTTTTGCACATTTTTTCATCAAAAGCCAAAAATTCATCCTAAACATACTCTTCTTTTTTTTTGCCAAAAAGTTACTAAAATAGCATATTTCCAAACAAGGTTTGAGTTGTAGTCACTGCTTGAGCAGTTGTCAAGTGGGGATCAAGTGGTAAGTTATTGGAATCTGGGATTTTACTTCTTAGATAATCGCTCAAGTGGTATGTAATAACCCGACCCTCGTATCTGTTTCTGGAATATTTTCAATCCCTTATTCTGAGCATTTAAATGCTTACGGTGAAATTTTATGTGAAACTGAATTTAATTTAGTGAATCCTATGGTTATGGATGCATATCTGTTTAATAAGAGAAAAATCTGTCACAATTATAATGTTTGAATCAGAAATTGGAAGCCTTAGAGACTTAATTATCTGAAATTGATTTTACATTTGGAATCGGCATAATTTTTAAGTCATAATATGATTTTCTGTGAAATTTTAATTTAGAATGATTAAACGATTGATTTTTGTCTTATTCACCTATTATATCTATCTATGTCCTCTTTACCATTTGACTCAGAAATTATCCTGGAGAGAGTGAGAGGAGAAGAAATTTGAGAGTGAGAAGAGAGTCCCACAAGGAAGGAATTAGGAAAGAAATTAAGAGGGTTTATAGAGAATTCAACTCAAGGTATGTTTAATCTATTCTAATTGATCCCTCTCTTTGATTTGAAAAGGAATTCCTCCATGTTATGTAAGTTAGGGTTTATAATATGGGTCAAGCATGTATTAAGTGATTAATTGGAGTCATGTCTCTTATGTTTGATGGATTTGGAATTATTTTGACCCATTTAGTGAGAATTTACATTTTATTTCTTTAAATAGTCATTTGAGATCATCTATGTAAACAAATGGCTAAGTGTATGTATATTTATGGAAGGAAGTTGGAAATTCCATGGGATTGGATTGTGAATCATAAATTCAAAGTGATTAAGAATCTAAGTTGATTTATAATTGATTTTTCATGTGATTTTGAGCTTTAAACTTGTGTTAAATTGATCTATTTTGAGCCTTGCTATGTATTCTCTAAGTTGGGTTTTGTGTGAGTTTCGCACTGCCAAAACAGGGGCTCGGCCGCACGTGCGGAGGTCATGGCCGCACGTGCAGGCAAGAGAAAAAAATGAGATTTTGCATTTTGCCTATGGCCGCTCGTGCGGTGAGGAGGGACCGCACGTGCGGTACATGTCCGCACATGCGGTCGGGACGGCCGCACGTGCGGCCCATGCCGAGAAACCTCGTCTGCTCCGTTTTGCGTGCTTGACCCTCTAATGTGTTTGAAATCAGTATTTGATGCTTTTTGATGTTTGTAAACTTATTCGAAATAAAACGAGTCAGGAAATAGTTTAAAAATGAAACGAACTAATTCTTGGATGGCATGCTTATGTAGGGCACCTACCGGGAGGGATTATCGCTCCATCCACGCACTGTGAGTAATAGTACGGCAAATGTACATTTTACTTACCGTTAATGACTATGGTTACTAACGCTCTGTTCTGTGTAAATGATTACATTAACATTTATATCGGTTGAGAATCAGTGTGAACTTGTATAAATGCTGGAAGCTTTGCATACATCGGTATGACATTGGAACCTTTTTGCTCTGTCACTAACGAACATTAACGCTTTGTTATCGATAAGCAAACTACGTCATTCTTAAGAAATAAATAGAACTTATGTTCATCCAGAAAGGATGGAACTTGTGTGAATCGAAGATTATTCGGTTGTATTATACATAAATCTAAGGTTATTCAGGACCTATAATATGAGCACAAAGGTCTACCACCATAGATGACCCACGTTCTGATATGAATCATTCTATCTCTATTGACCATACTGTCATGATACATGCGTCTTCCGTTACTAAATGTTATGGATACTCTATTATCTGCAAGCTAGCTATATTGATTCACAACAAATAAATGGAATGTATGTACATTATTTATGGGACCTATGGTATCTCCGTATCTCTGAAATGTGTTAAACCTATATTACCGATGGTAATTCATGTGAATAATGGGAAGAATGTATGTAATTTCTGTATGATGCTGAAGTTACTTTGTTTTGATGATTTTTGGTATGGAGCAAAGTGCTATACGGAACTAAGTGCTACACTTTGGTGGGAGCCACCTCTTGAGTCCATACACATGTTATTTCTGGGCCGCTAGGCCGTTCTGTTATTTCTAGGCCGTTAGGCCGTTCTGTTATTTCTGGGCCGCTAGGCCGTTCTGTATCTGTTAGGCCTATGGCCGTTTTGTACATTAATGGGCTTTAAGCCATTTTGTTATGAAAACTGGACCCATGGCTGTTCTGGAAGTAATTACAAAATATAGTTAATCATATGTCTCTGCAGTTATATGCTTTATTACTCAAGTTAAACATTACATTATTTATGTACTATTATTCACTGAGTTTCACTCATCCTATATTTTGTCTGTTTCTGTAGGTAATCAACCAAGAGACCAGTCCTAACCCTTAAGGCTCGTCTCTCTCTTGTCAACCTCGGTGTATCCAGGCACTTAGCTAAAGCCCGTACATTTTGTAAAGTGTTGTTAGTTTTTTTGGATTATGTTTTGATTGTCTTTCATTAATATTTTTGTTATACGCCCAATTGTGGGGCTGAGTCGAAGTATATGTGTGTAAGTTTTCTGTATATTATTTACCAAGTGTGATGTGTGATCCTAGCATAATAGTGGCAGCTCAATGGAATAGATTTTTGTTATCAAGTGCTTCCGTTCAGGCCCCATACGTTACATATATCGATTATATGTCCGTTTCTGATGTAGTCATGACCAAAACTTTTAGGGGCGGTTTTGGGTTGTGACATGGTAAGTGTCTGCTTGAGCAGTCTGCACAATTTTACTGCAAGAAAAGTCGCAATCGGTCAGATTTTGAGGACCAATGGTACCTACTCTGGAATGGAGCAACTAGAAATATAAAGAAGTAGCAGATGCACGAATGGAGTTGTGCCTATAAATATAAGAAGTCAAACCCTTGTCCCTTCACCTTTTCTTTCTCTTCTTTCTCTTTTCTCTCTCTATATTCAATATGCTTTGTGAGAACGTCGTATAACTCATAATTTAGAAGTTTCGGGGTTTGATTTGCGCAACGTCAAAGAAGAAAGAGTTGTTCTACATGACAAGAGTGTCAAATCTATCCAAGCAGAAATGATTTTTGTCAAGATTCATTTCTTAGGTTTCTCCTCTTCGCCCCAAGACATAGTGAGTCCTAATGTGTTTACACTTTGGGGTTGTGTGGGGGCTATTTTGGTTAGGGAAATGGTAGAGTTATTCTTGAGAAATTGCATGCTCTAGGTTTAGGGAAAATCACATGTTAGAAATTGGAGATTTTGAGTATCATGTTTATATTATGAAATTGAGTATGTTGACTTAAAAAAAATGTTATTAAATTGCATAAATGTTAATTACCATGAGACTTGGGTTTATTTTAGAGAAATTCATAAATTGTTATCATATTTACATAGCTTGAAAATGTGATAAAATCCTTGAGTAGGGTGTTTGAATGAGATTTGAGAATGTGTATAACTGAGAGACATGGGATTTGAAATATGAAATTGAGCCTTCGATCATTGTTATTGAAAATGGAAAAAGAGCATTTTAGGATAAATGGCATGAACCTTAAAATGGTTTCATGAAATGGGTAAACATTGAAACAGTATTAATAATTGAATGTTGTTATGAAGCACGGACAAGGACACGGACACGGAACACAGCAATTTTCAAAAAATGGGAACACAAACATGGCAAGGGACACGGCAATTTTTTTTTAATATATTTTTATTTGTTAACAAAAATATACATTTAAATAAATAAATAAATAAATACATATATATATATATAATAAATACCAATACATTAAATAAATAAATGAGTGCTTAATTTAGTGATGTCAAATTTAAACATTTTCAAATTTGAAGAAATAGTTGGAGATGTTCAAACAGATTTGTGTGGTGCATGCATACACCTTTTATTATTGCCTCTTTAGTTAGCATGTTCTAATCTTCTTTTTTAACCTTCATAAATTGTGGAATAAAGCAGCCCCATTAGAGACAATTATCCTTTGTAGTGCAACTTGTGGAATTCTTTAAAAAAAAACATTTACAAGTGATTGGTACAATTTATGTTTATGATTCATCCGTTTACAATGACTTTAAAAGGTTAGGAGAAATCTTCCACCACCCCCCCTCTCAAAACAAAAACCTATGAATAATGTTTTTGGTGGGAGCAAATTTGGATTTGACCAAAAAAAAAAAAGACGCGACAAATGGTGTGTCCTGTACATGTCCATGGCGTGTCCCTATGTTCCCGTGTCTGATACCGCTACGGCCAGATTTTGCTGTGTTTGTGATTCATAGGAACTTTTGAGTTCAGCATTAGTGAGCAAGTTGGGCTAGACATGCTCCTTGGTGAAAGTCTGAAAACCAGCACGGTATAGTACAAGTACCAAATTTCCTTTGGGTTAGTAACCCGAGAAATAAGGGTTATCTTACTCTTGGTTGAGAACTTGAGTTACTGGTTAATAAACAACCTATAACAAATGCATGAGTTGTCCACTCTTTTAGCTAACTTCGCCGAACTAAGCCTCATAGATGAAGCTTTTAAGAAGCAGAAGTCCAGTGTTCAATAGTTGAAATTAGGGGATCAGAATAGTAGTTATTTTCACGAGAAACTGAGTAGTATAGATTGCAGAATAATAACCTCAGCATAAAACCAGAGAAGGGGGACATGTTGGGGGATCCAAATGCTATCAAAGAAGAAATTCAGCAGTTTTACAAACAGTTGTTGGGTTGAGTTTGATGAGGGAATTTTTAGTCAGAATTTCTTTCAAGAACTAGGTTTACCCAAAGTCAAGCCTGATAGTCAAAATTGCCTTGTAAAAGATGTAACCGATAAAGAAATTAAGGCTGCCATGTTTAGTATTAAACCTGGAAAATCTCCTGGTCCTGATGGTATAGTAGTAAATTTTTTCAGAGCTACTGAAATATTGTGGGGCCTGATGTTGTGAAGGCTGTCAAACATTTCTTTACTTCTGGCACAATGGGCAAAGCCAGGAATAGCACAGCCATACCCTTATCCCTAAATCAAATCCCCAGTCACTATAAAGGATTACAGGCCTATATCATGTTGCAATGTCATTTACAAACGTATTTCGAAAGTGATGGCTAATAGACTTCAAGGCGTAATGCCTGAAATTATAAGTTCCTCTAAGTCAGCCTTCATCAAAGAGATCCATCATTGAAAATGTTTTGCTGCTGCAAGAGCTTGCTAGAGGTTATCATAGAAACAAAAAGCCACCCAGATGCATGATGAAAGTAGATCTAATGAAAGCTTATGTAGTACGGGAGTTTTTATTGAATGCCCCATGACTGCTATCGACTTTCCTAGGGAGTTTATTGGATGGGTGAAGCAGTGCATTTCCACTGCAATGCTCTCTATTGTCATAAATGGAGAATTAGTGGATTATTTCCCAGCTAAGAAGGGTCTTCGACTACGATATCTCACCTTACTTGTTTTTTATTGTTATGGAGTGTTTTCACAGTTTAATACAATGAAGCTCGGCTAATGGACGGTTTATGTATCATCCAAAGTGCAACTGGTGCATCTCAGGTTTGCCGATGATCTTTTTGTGTTTTGTGCAGCTGATAAGGAGTCTTTTCAAATTGTTCGAAGGACCTTGGTTGCTTTTCATAAACTGCCAGGTCTCAAACCTAAAACGCGAAAGAGTATGTTGTTCTTTAGTGGTGTTGAAGAAAATGTTAAGGCAGAGCTTGTCAATCTTATGGGCATGAAAGAAGGAAAGCTTCCTGTGAAATATCTTGGTGCCCCCTCGGTCTCTACTAAGCTTAAATTTGAGGACTGTGAGCAGCTAAAGGAAAGGCTTCTACATAAAGTTCAGAGGTGTCATAGTCAATCTCTATCATATGGAAGTAGACAGCAATTAGTTCAGGCTGTTCTTTTTGGAATCCAAGTCTACTGGTCATCCATTTTCATTCTAGCTAAGAAAGTAACTAAAGAAATTAAGGCCAGTATAAGGAATTTTCTTTGGTCAGGTACTGAGATTCATAAATCTGCTGCAAAGGTGAACTGGAAAACCCTGTTATCCTAAAGAGGAGGAAGTTCTTGGTCTGAAATCAGTACATTTTTGGAACAAAACTGCTGTGATTAAGCAATTGTGGGCACTTTGTATGAAAGCAGATACCCTTTCGGTCAAATGGATCCATACATTCATCATCAAAAAAAAGCTGTGTTAGTAGTATTGAGTGTTCCAATTGATGCTTCCTGGAGTACAAGGAACATATTGAAGTTGAGGGACACTGCCAGACCTTATATCAAAACTATAATAGGAAATGGTAAGAATACTTTCCTTTGGTGAGATAATTGGCATCCTATGGAACCTTTGTACACTAGGTTTGGCAGTAGTATTGGGCCTAACTTGGTAAGAAATCAGGACATGAAAGTTGGAAGTATGATCAAAGAAGGAAATTGGCTCTGGCCAAGCAGGTTGAGTCGAGTAATGTATGGAATTGTGCAGCAAATACCGACGACCATGAATCCAAATGAAAGGAAAGATGACTATATTAGATGGGAGGCAAGCTCAGATGGTAGATTTTCGATTAAGTCTGCCCGGCAAGTAGTTAGACCTCACCAACAGCCAGTGGCTTGGAACAAGAAAGTTTGGTTCACTTATAATGTCCCTATATGGTCCATCTGTTGGCTTGGTTTGTTAAAGAGGTTTACTACTCTAGATAGAGTTCAAAAATGGGGCTTAACTCAGAACTCAAGCTGTGTGCTTTGCAGAGGTGCACAAGAAGACCATGAACACCTGTTTTTTAACTGCAACTTTGCAGTAGACATTTGGGAAAAGATCTTATTCACGGTGGGGATTACTACAGGCAGAATGGACTTACTTCAGGAAGCTTGCTGAGGTGTCTAGAATAATGACAGGACCTTCCGATGCAAACTGTTCAAGCTTTGTCTCACAGACATGGTTTACTTTCTATGGCAGGAGAGGAATAGCAGAATTTTTTACCACAAAAGCTGATGAGTTTATTATTATTATTATTATTATTATTATTATTATTATTATTATTATTATTATTATTATTATTATTATTATTATTATTATTATTATTATTATTATTATTATTATTATTATTATTATTATTATTATTATTATTATTATTATTATTATTATTATTATTATTATTATTATTATTATTATTATTATTATTATTATTATTATTATTATTATTATTATAAATTACGTGCAATGGATAGAATAAAAGTATCTTAATGGATCTAAAGAAACATCTAAAATGAGATAAATGACATTTCGACTGCAGCTTTAGTATACATACCTCTAAGCTGACCGTTTTGCCCCATGCGCTGTAAATTATAAACACGATCAACAATCTTCTTCTGCTCCTCGGTATTAAAAACTTGAGTGTGAAGTTCGAGTCCTTGGAGGACATTTGTCGCCTTCCCATCGATCCTCTCAATATGAACATAATCCTTTTTCCTGCCAATTTGAGCGAACCTAGTACGCTCCTTTTGCTCCTCCATTACACCAAGCCCGTCGTTTAGTGATATCTGTTTTATGTCCACTGATGCAGGTGATGAATTAACAAATCCGTTTCGTATTCCTGAGTGACCAGCAGGCTCAGGGGTTCGGATAGAGCTCCATGATGTGCTCTTAGTAGAAGATTGTGAATTTTTCTCTAATACAGAAGAGCTAGACGAGTTTGCAGACCAGAATTCTACCGAATTTTGACCATTACCACTTGATACTGATAACTCACTCGTTTTTTCTGCAAAAATAGAAGGAAAAGAAATAATGTCAAGGTACTTTAAGTCATATTGCAGCATTCAAAAGATATTACACACAAAGTACAGAATGCAAGGCCATTTATCTAATTATTTATATCACAATAATTTTTCCATAGATGAAAATAAAAATTATTTGACAATAGAAAAAAAAATCTATTTTTTCAGATAAAATGTTACGCCCAGGAACATTAGGTTTCTACTATTTGACTATGGATCTATCCAGCGATTAGTGCTTTTTATTTACAACTTCAAGATTGTTTGAATAAATGTATAGAATGCATATATGATATAGTGTGTATAAAATTTGTACCAATTGGGCACACCGATCCACAATGTGGATATCCATATGAAGCAAGGGATGTAGGAACAACTTTTCTAAAGTTGGAAGTTGATAATCATATAGTAGCATAAGCTAATAGCATCCCTCCTCCAACTTTTCGATTTCTTAGCTTATTTTAAACTATTTATGCTTCATAGGTTGTTTGACTCAAATGCTTCTAACAGATGATGGGGTTGAAAGGTTCTTGCTCAATTGCGAGTTCAAACGAGAACAGAATCTCCAAGAAATTAGGAGACAATGAGTGGAGGTACTATGAGACAGAGCAATGGAAGAGGACAGGAACATCACTGATGCTGAACAGTTGATGAAACAGAACAAATATCTAAATTTTTAGGCAGTTATAGGGGTTGTTTCGGAAACCGATTTACCCAATGTGACATGTTTATTCATTCACTTAGCAATTCTAAGGTTTGTGCTTTACACAATACTAGGAGCGGTGGCACACACGATGCATGGGCATATTATAAAGTGTATGATTGAATTCGAAATTTGAAAAGCTGTGTGGCTTATGATATACAATACATAGATATCAAAAACTGTGTGGTTTATGATACAATAAATAGATAACTAATTTTTTTGGGGTGTTTGTTGAATTAGAAACATGGGTTGGTTTTGAAAATTGATTAGCAGTTATTTTACCTAATGTGGCATGTTTATTCATTCATCTAGCAATTCTATGAGCCTTTTTTATAATCAAAATTGTGTGACAACAATTCAAAAAGCTAACTACTTTATATAATAGAACACAGATACAAATCAAAAAACATAAACCCTAATCATAACTAATTTATACGAGAGAGAGAGAGAGAGAAAGAGAGAGATAGAGAGAGAGAAAGAGAGAGATAGAGAGAGAGAAAGAGAGAGATAGAGAGAGAGAAAGAGAGAGATAGAGAGAGAGAAAGAGAGAGATAGAGAGAGAGAAAGAGAGAGATAGAGAGAGAGAAAGAGAGAGATAGAGAGAGAGAAAGAGAGAGATAGAGAGAGAGAAAGAGAGAGATAGAGAGAGAGAGAGAGGTTACTATTAATTAGATTGAGAATACGAGTCTGCAATAGATCTTGACAGTGAAGACAAAACCCGCCTCCATCAGACAAGGCTTCCAAAATCTCATCACGCCCTAGATTCTTCAGCAACCCTGCCAACCCATCTCCGGCTGCGGATTCCGGCACCTTGCTGGAAGATTCTCCCGTCATCTTCACCAAAATAAATTCAAGGAAAAAAGCTCAAGCAGAGAAACAGAACAGTTTCAGAGAAAAGGAAATCTGAGAACAATTCAACTTGAAAATTTCACAAACTATTATGTGTATCTTTGGCTGTGTGAGTAGGGTATACATACAACGGATTAGAGAAAGATGGGGTTGGTTTAAATACAGTCTCCCAATCCAACCCAACTAGGCTTTGAGAGAAACAGAGACTGAGACCGAGACACAGAGGGGGCGACCACAGTTTCTTTCTTGCTAGTTTCCTAAAGCGGTATTTGATTTTTCGATAAATTACACTGACGTCACTAAAATTTATATTTATTACCGTGCACCCGTATTTGAAAAATTATATTGATCGCCTTATCATCGTAATTATTTAACTATATTAATTTTTAAGTTAAAATAACATATTTACCTTTAACTTTTACATTTACTTTAAAAGGTAAATTACATTGACACCCCCTAAGATTTTCATTTAATACGGATCCCCCTTTATATTTAAAAAAAAAAAACTAATTTAATAAAAATAAATATAAAGAAATATATTTAATTTGTAAAAAAATATTTCTAACCACTCGAAAGATAAAAGTTATATAAAAATGATAATTATTTTTTATTTTTTATTTTGTAACCAAATTAATTTTTTATTTAAAAAAAAAATTCTAAAAATCAAATCATACATAACCTAAGAATCTTTTAATAAGTCATTTCGTAAGTTGGTATCTTATTTAATTATTTGTTAATTTTACGATATTTTTAATATCTGAGACTTGTTTGGTAACCATTTCGTTTTCAATTTTCAATTTATATTTACAAAAATTTTAAAAACTGTCATAAAAACTTGTTTGATAATTTTTTGGGTTTATAAATGGTTGTCTCAATTTGTAAATTTGAGAAGAAAATATAAATTCAAAAAATGAGTTCACGTTGTTTTTAAACATAAATTTTAAAATTTGACTAACAAAAGAATATTTTAATAAGTCATTTCTTAAGTTGGTAACTTATTTAATTATTTGTTAATTTTACGACATTTTTAACATCTGAGACCTATTTGGTAACCATTTCGTTTTCAGTTTTCAATTTATATTTACAAAAAATTTTAAAACTGTCATAAAACTTGTTTGATAATTTTTTTTGTTTATAAATGGTTGTCTCAATTTATAAATTTGAGAAAAAAAAATGTAAATTCAAAAAATGAGTTTACGTTATTTTTAAACATAAATTTTAAAATTTGGCTAACAATTTTTTTTTCAACTAATACTAACCGATAGGACAATTGGTAATGCTACTTTAAACTTTGCAGAGGATATTGTAATTTCTAAAATATGAGGAGTGTCAATGTAATTTACCTAGTGAGGGCAAAATTAGTATTTAAAAAAATTAAATTGCTGGCATCAGTGAAATCTGTTAGTTGACTTAGCAGTCAACTAACTGAGGGAGCTATCTGTAATGAAACTTTAAATTTCAGAAAGAGAAATGTAATTTCTAAAATGTGAGGAAAAAACTATAATAAATATAAACCTCAGGGGATGTCAATGTAATTTACCCTTCATTTTTTTTACAAACCACAAAGCCTTCGTCTTGGGAGTGAGTTAGTTTTTTTTGTCTTTTTATTTATTTTAATAAGCCTATGTTTGGGAAGTTGGGTTTGAGAATTTTTTAGCTAAAATAGTTACAAAAAATAAAATACACTTTTTAACTTAATAAGATAAAATATCACATCTAACTTATAATCATTATATTTTTTCTCTCACAAAAAAGTCAAAAAAGATAAATAAAAAAAAAGTCAAAAACCTTTTTTCAAACCAAGCTTTTTAGCTCCAGGTTAAAATAGTCAAAAAAGTCAAAAAGACCAACCCACTTCCCAAATGAAACCTAAGTGTTTAGCATGTTTTCTTTTGAGCTTTTTTGATAAATCTCTTTTCTAAAAGTTTTATTTCATCCAACACATATTTTTTTTTATTATTCTATTAAAAATCTTATTTGAGGGAAGAAGACTAAAACACCCTAAATCTCTCCTCCCCATTAATGTTGATATTTAATGTTGATTGTCATTATATCTTCACTCCAAAATATGCATTAACTACACACTACTATTTAATGTTGATATATATTACACATAAAAAATTAAACATGGTTCTTTATTGATTATCATTATGTTTTGGTCATTCCCATGCATCCAAATGTTGACTGTACGTGATGACGTGAATGTTCACATTAGATGACGTGAATGTTCACATCAGATGACGTTATAATAAAAGTGATGTTAAGGTTCACATCAGCATTGCATCAAATTATACAACCACAAGCCTCAACTTTCATTTGAATATAAATATGACGTAAATGTTCACACTAAAACATATGAATGTGAATGTTCACATGAATTTTGGAATATAGATATTAACATCATGAACATTAACATTTGTATTCATATTCATATACTTTAGTGTGAACATTCACATATTCTGATATTAACATTATGAACATTAACATTTGTATTCGCATTTATATGTTTTAGTGTGAACATTCACTTCATCTGATGTGAACATTTACATTTACTTCATCTTTTTTTTTTTTTCTGCGCAAACATTCACGTCTTCTGATGTGGACATTCACGTCATCACTTACAGTCAACATTTGGATGCATAGAAACTATCAAAACATAATGACAATCAATAAATAACTATTTTAATTTTTTGTGTAATGTATATCAACATTAAATAGTAATGTGTAGTTAATGCATATCAACATTAAATATAAGGATATAAGAGTCTAAGAAAATAATGTATTTTAAGAAAAAAAAGACCTTATGAAATAAATATATAAATACATGCGACTAAGTGGACTATAAATTTCCTTCATTGACTTATTGGAGTAGAACACTACTAAATAGGATTTATCAATAAAAACTACATTAAAAAAGTGTATTTATATATATATACACTTATTTAGGTCACATTAATCAACATCTCATCTCTACTTTTCTACCCTTTTTTTTTTATATATATAAAAAGTCAAAAAGTGTAATTATTTAGAACATCTCAAATCACCCATAAATTTGGATTAAAAAATATGTCACATTTAAATTATAATTATTTTTTTCCCTAAAAAAATTCAATAAAACTAAAAAATCCATCACAAATTATTAATTTTTTAATCTATTTTATATTTTTATGACTAAAATAACCTCAACTTCACATGCCAAACATAGCCAAAAAATACTTACAAAACTAGGTTGGAAACTCTAAACTAGTTTCCTTTTCAGAAAGTGATAGGTTATTTCTGGAATATCACGTGTATGTACCCTTAACCAATTATAATTTATTTTATTCTTTTATATTTCTCAGTTACTCAACATAGTATTTTATCTATTTATATTTTTTATCAATCATAATATTATAAAATATCACGTATTTATATTTCGAGATTCCGACGACGTGCTTACCAGGAAAGAAAGAAAAGAAAAAAAAAATAGAGACACAAACAAATACAGGTGTTTTACAGCCGTTAATATTATATATATATATATATGTTTTGGAGGAGGATTCCTTTGGATTAGAGAGTTGTTTGGGGTCATGGGACTTATAACGGATTTTGTTTTAATGTTTTGAATTGTTTATTTTATTTGATATTTTATATATTTTATTTACATAAAAAATTATGTCAATTCAATAATTATAACTTATTTAATTTGTAATGTTTTTAACTAAAAAAATTTGTGTTTTAAAAAATAAATCATACATTTTTTTTTATTAAAAACGTGATAAATTGAATAAGTAATAATTATCGAATCAACTTAATTTTTTGTGTTAATGAATTATACAAAACGCCTGACAAAATAAACAATCTGAATTATTGAAACGGGGCCTGTAGTGGGCTTCACAAACCCAAACAACGACCTCAAATTCAAAATCTGGACTTGAAATAATCCTCCTATATTTTTTGTGTTTTCAATCTAGAAAAATCTAAAAGCTATAAAAAAATACTTCAAAAAATATATTTGTTAGAAGACTTTTTTTTCAATACCAAAAAAAAGAGGATCTTTTAATTTAGTAGGATTTAAAAATGAAATAAAAAAATTAAAAGTTTAGAAGAAAAAAAAAATCAACGGAAGGTTCTAATGTGCATAGAAAATTTTAATATTAATATACGTGTAAAGAATGTAATGAAATTAAAAAAAAAAAGTTCATATTAATATTCATCAAACCCCTAGGCGGTAGCACAGTTGGTTTGGAGAGAGAGCCTCGTGGTGCTACTTTGCAGCAAATTAGCATGGATTCGACTCTTCTTTGCTGCATGAGTCTTGACTTAAAGGTTTGTGTTGAGGGGTCGATGCAAACTCTCAGCTTATAGTCTCTTATCCGAAACGGAAAACAAAGACATGCAAACTCCCATGTTATAGGCCAAATTTGACATCTGGCCTAGTTTGGGAAGACTAAATAAGTGCACTTTTTGACTTTTTATGAAATATGGGTTGGGTTTGGGTTGGATTTGAAGTGATGTGTTAGAGAGGTGATGTGATTTAAATAAGATGATGTGACTTAAATAGGATAGTGACTTTTTAACTTTTTGACTTTTTTCAATCATGCCAAACTTGGCAAATAATACAAAAAGTCAAAAAGTCACAATCCTATTTAAGTCACATCATCTTATTTAAATCACATCATCTCTCTAACACATCACATCAAACCCAACCCATATAAGCCAATAATATATTTTTTTAGAACATCCCAAACCAATCTATAATCTCTAATCTGAAACGAATAATAGAACACCTTCATGATCTCGCTTTAGACCTACAAGAAGGATGTGAAAAATTTTCTGTAACAAAAAAAGAAAAATAAAAATAAAACATATAATAAAAAATGAAAAATGGAGTTTAAATTTTAACATTTCGATATTGTTTAATACTTATCAACGACCATCAGCTGATTGTTAATAGAAGCCAATATATATATATATATATATACATGAGATCGTAGTTAGAGAGAGAGCTTGTGCGGTTTGTGATGATTTGGTCAATTAATTTATAAGTTTATTAATAAATAAATTTGATAATCATGATTGTGTATTTTTTATAATAATTGTTGAATTGTTTTTATTGTATTTGGAAATTTTTATTTTTATTTTTGGTTTAGTATGGTTTACTAATTACTTTTAAAAATGTTTATTTATTTTTAAAAAATTACATTTAATAATTGCTAAAAAAATATTTTGTATTATGCAAAAAAGTTTACAAGTTTGTTCAAAAGATTTATTATATTA